ATAAAGATTAATCTTACCAATTTAAGCTCGATACTTTATTTCACACATAATAATGCTAGTAATTTAAAAATATATATATATAAAAAATAAAAAATGGTATTTTAATGTCTGAGGGGCGTTTAAAAAAATAAAAATGTGGCCCTGAGGGAGTCCTCCACCCCACTGATGAGCTCTTTTTGGCAGTTCTAGAAAAAAAAATGTCCTGGGGCAGGAAGGGTTGTTCCATGTTAAAAATATACATGAACAGCGCTATTTTTTAAAGATCTTCCATATCACCATAATTCAGCCTGCTTTGTATTCTGTCTACCCTAGCTCATCAACAAAGAAAGATAGGTCTGCAGATAGAATGGTAGAAAATGACTTTCCCTTCATTCAGGAGCTATACAGGTCTAGGGTCAGGAAAAAGGTCAGTTAACATCTCTGCCAACCACAAACATTTGATCTCAAGGACTATTTAGACCCTAATCGGGAGGCCTACACCACAGAGCCATGTTTGCTTTACCTAGGCTGTCACAAAAGGAGGTTCTTTCCAAGGAATCTCAACAAAATAAACTGTCTGAATAGTTCAAATTAATTTGTTTGTGTCACAGGGAGAAATGTTTGGTGTCAAAGCAGCATTTAAAATACGTTGCAAACTAAGAGAACCAGATAAACATTTAACAGTTTATATACCATTTGAAGACTATTTTGATTGCCTTATTATAGAGTCTGGGGGCTGCAGGAAGTAAAGAGGGACAAAAATGTCCCACTGCAGATATCAGCCTTCCTTTGAAGGGACAGAGACGTAGCCAGAAAATGTTAATAAGGGTGGCCAGGCAGTAACCAATGTACACTGAGGGGTGGCTGAAAGCGGGTCAATTAACACCATATTTTCCAAATAAAGACAAACTATACTTTCCTACAGCTTTTGCTAACAACTACATACATTTATTTAAGCATCTATGCTGTCTAATTTNGGTCAGTTAACATCTCTGCCAACCTCACACATTCGAACTCACAGACTATTTAGAACCCAATCGGGAGGCCTACACCACAGAGCCATGTTTACTTTAGCTAGGCTGTCACAAAAGGAGGTTCTTTCCACAGAATCTCAACAAAATAAACTCTCTGAATAGTTCAAATTAATTTGTGTCACAGGGAGAAATGTTTGGTGTCAAAGCAGCATTTAAAATACGTTACAGTTCTGGGGCAAACATCTTATTCATTGTCATTACTTACCTACTTTTATCAAATGAATGCACGGTGGTAGTGATGCGTCTGGTTTCTCGCTTTCTTTCATTAATCTGAAGAGTTTTATCTTAACCACTCCACAAAGTCACACATCACCTTTCTGTTTTCCCTTTGCAAGATGAGGCCAACAACCGCAGTCATCTAATCATTTCTGCAGGTAAAGAGGACCGGAACCAGAACTTTACCCTGTTGGGGCCTCCTTACTGCAGATCTCATTGTTCTGTTGACAGTTGTTAAGATTGTCCAGTCTGTGGGTTAACCTTTCACCTTAGTCTGCTCCAGCTTGCTTTTCAGAATAAATTGCTGTATTTTATTGAAAGCATTAGTGAAAAGATAAAAATAAATAAATAAAAAAACTCACAAAACTTCCAGGGTGCGAGAGTTCGCCCTGTGCTAGAGGAAAAAAATAAATCACAGCACCATCCACTCCAGTGCCTGGCTGGTTGTTAAACTGAAGGACCCCTGGTCTACCGGTATATATAGGTACATAATGCAGATAATAAAGAGCTTCTTTTCTAATAACTGTTGATGTGCTCTTCATACAACATTGATGCATTTATTCTATATTTTATATTCTATTAAACTCAATGGTTGCTTGTCTATGTGAAGCACCTCAGCAAATTCCTTACGTGTGAAAACACTGCTCGACAGTAGAGCACTTCAGTTACCGCATGTGGCTTGCAAAAGACTTGGTTGATAAGATGTTTTTATTTATTTTTTTATTCCCCCTGCAATTTTTTCCACTAAGTGAAATGTCTTTAAATAAACATTAACATGAATTCAACACGCTGTAGTAAACAGAAGGAGGCAGAAGATGTCTTTCAGTCATAATTGCACACATTCAGCGACACACAGGAGCTCTT